AAGTGTTATATATTGTCTTCTGCAGTTGATTTACATTTATTGTTTTGCCCGATTTTTTTCACAATCTGATTCATCTCTGCAGAGAAACTATATGTAGTTTCATTACTACAGTGATTATATCTATCAAACTGTCTGTTTGTATATGCAAACACATGTAAGGAAACATATCAGTTGTCTATCAGCTTATTTATTCCCCACTCTCTATTTATACTGGGTACGTGTTACTTTTCTAGTCGCTCCATTTAACAGGAAAACTCGCCTACCAGCAGATCTTGTGTCTTGTTGATATGTGTTACCAGCAATCCATTATCTGGTCCTACATGAGACATAGTAAAATCTTGCCACAGTGCGTGATCACCCCGCAGACTGGATTTTGTGGTCACCCTACAAGACAACGAATTTTATGGGATGACTTCATTACCCATAATATTCCTGTATTGTTATAAAGTCTTTACAGGTTTTTTTCTGTAGGAACTGTTTTATACTTCAACATTTGTTTACACATTCCATTTGATATATGATAAATGTTTTGAAGGGACATAGTATATATGAAGTACAGTTATTTACTCTATACCTACATATGAAGTCCTAACAAGATTTTGCAACAGCATTCTCACCCAACTTTTTCCAAAAACTCATCATTGTCCAACAACTGTGCCATTTTCCTGATGTGTGTATCCATTATATGAATAGACATAGCCTTGTTAAAAAAAGAAAAAAGACAAAGTATTAGAGTAAAAAGATTAAATCCTCAGGAATAAACACTGTTTAAGAAGGTACTGTCAGCAACTTGTATGATAATTACATTGCATGTGGGACAACAGCAAATTAAAAGACAGCTGAAAGAGAAGTTACAATTATCCGTCCATAGAAAACGCATTTAGCAACTGTTCTGCCAGAGCTATTTGTTAAGGGATTTTATGCAGTTAATTACATGTACGCACAGCTGCTGGGAGACTAGCTACACAGCTCAACGAGACAAAAAGATGAACCAAAGCAAAGCCCAGAGCCCTACGGGCCAGTGTGCGCCGCAGCAGGAGCAGGGGGGCAGCCGGCTGGGGACAGCCGGGCCGTCAGGCGCGGGGATGGAGGCGTGCGGGCGAGCTGCCCCTCGGGCTTAGGCGCAGTAAGACCGGAGCAAAACCGACCGCCAAGCCCCGCTTTTTGCTTCGCTGGGCTCCGCCGCCTCACTCCGCCCCAGCCAGCCGTGGGAGCGGGACAGAGTGAGGGTGCCGGAGCCGCCCACCCCCGAGCCTCCCGTCCCCCGAGACTCTCCTCACCTCCTGGGGGAAAGGCCCCTCAGCTCCCCCGCCCCCGCGCCGTCCCGTCCCCAGAGACTCACCTCACCGGAGGAAAGGCTTCCCCGTTCAAACCCCCCCCCCCCCGCCCCGCGCACGTCCCGAAAGCCTGGTCGGCCACCGCGCCAGTGACAGAGATCCCCCGAGCCACCTCAGCATCGTCAGGCCACGGCACCTGCGGGCGCTCACCCGACCCTTCCCCCGTGCGGGTGCCGGGAGGAGCCCACCCCCACGCCCCGCTCGTGTTACGGCGTTGCCGGTGGAGCCGGGCCGGCCCCAGGGGCCGCGCAGCGAGAGGCGGCGGCGGCGCCGCTTCCCGCCGCCGGAGGGCGGTGGTGGGCGGGCGGCGCGCGCGGGGGGCGCCGCTGGGGCTGAGGAGACACCTGCGCGCGAGGGGAGGGGAGGGGGCCGGTTCCAGTCAGCGCAGCCCGGGCCAGTCGCTTTAGTAGACAATTTATTTTGATAAACTTGCTCAATAACAAAAATACAAGTGAAGAAAATTATGTTCACTTTATACAGTTTGTATTAACATTTGTTCGGAAATCATTAATTGAAAAATGTTCTAACCAATTAGAAAACAATCCTCAGTAAAGGCCGGGGCGGGGGACGCAGACGGTCAGGCCTTGAGCGGGGAGCGACGCGACGCCCAGGCAGGACAACCCGCCTGCAGACACCATTTCCTTCATTATTTTCATCCTTCACAAAGGTTTTAAAGGACAGCTTTCTTTTCCTCTTTTTTTTTTTTTTTTTTTTTTTTTTTTTTTTTTTTTTTTGTGTGTGTGTGTGTGTGTTGGGGCAAACAGTAATCTACAGTTGTGTTCTGAAGTGGTTAAACAACAGCTCTGAAACACAGGTATGACAGGAAGGCCCTAATCCGGTGGCTTTACTTCAGCCAGAGGAAGGGGCTCAGGTGGTGTTGCACACTACCAGCATCTTCAAGAAACTGGTATCACTTGCCAGCAAGATTAACAATGGAAAACAATGTTAAATGGTTAGACTGGTGTGTTCAGGGAAGCACATCCTGCCCAGGTCTGAGACAAACGGCTTCCAGGTGATTATTTCAGCTGAGCTCAATGACAAGATTTATACAGACAAATTAACTAGTTTTCCTTCTGAAGGTATTTTAAGTTTCTGGTCTTACATTTTGTTAGCCAAATAAACGACAAAATGAGCACAAATTACATTATGATGGGACATCAAACTTTTGGGGGAATTTTGAAGCAAAAGACTAAATAAGAATCCCTAGTGACACATGAAATGAGCTGTCCTTCAAAAAGTTAAATATAATGGCTGGCAGAATCAGAAAAGTTTATGTAAACACTCAACACAAATGCGGGATTACCTTTGGAGGAGATTCATATGGAAACATTTTCTTTTCATGAACTGAAAAAGTCTACAGATGTTTAGGCATGTTCAATACGAACTTCCCGTAGTTTTAAACAAAACCTTGTGCAAATAAAACCTATAAATAGTCTTCAGCAGATTTTACAGTGATGCTCTTAGGTATGAAAAGAATACACACAACTTTAAAACAAAAGTAACAGACATAAGTTTGACAAATGATTGCACCATAAAACAGTGTTTTATATACAGTTTACAAGATATGATTTTCTGCTATAAATTAATACTGTACTATATAGTACTTAGTGACCTTATTAAAAGCAACTGTTGACAGCTGTCTCTTCAATTACTGGGTGGGATTTTTTTAAATGCAGATAGCTGCATCTATTTCTGGACTTAAAATGCTCAAATATTGAAACAAACAATCTGCTAGTTAAATCTCTGCTATCATTTAATAATTCATAGCAATGGCACTGGCAGATCAGATAAATTTCCAGCCAGCCAGCCACAGACTGGGTATGCTCCAAGGTAACTGTTTATATTTTTTTATTAAATGATGATCCATTTAATCTAAGCGTAAATCCACTGTATACATGATGTTACTATAACTGAAATAAGTAAGTGGGGTGGGCAGAAATCTTAGCAGCTAAGAAACCCCCCCCCCCCCCGTGTTCCAGTTACAAAAATCTCCTAGAACTATTTACAAGAGCGAGATTTCTGAAAAAAAGAAGAGCTTTTTTTTCCCAACGTAATTTATGATCTAAGTTTTAGTGAATACGTCAGCTTAGGATACAGCAGTGATAACACCAAAAATTTAGACACACATCCAGCAGCTGAACCCTGTGTTTTATCTCCACCAACATCGCTGGGGACCTCGGACTACCCATGCAGATGAAGGCTTAAATTAGGAACCAAATCATATTTAAACCATTACTTCCAAGCAGGTGCCTGGCTGTATTTACAGATTAGTATACTTTAGAAAAATTTAGTGTTCTATAAACACTCCCTTCTACCTGTGAGTGAGCTGACTGGAAAAAAAGTCACTTATAGACCATTCCAGTGACAAGTTTGTTCAAAAATGTCAAAAGAAAAAATACTTAATTCGGCAAATAACCGTTTCATATTAAAATACCTTGTGAGGGGGGAGAGGGAAGAGGTGGAGAGGGAGGAGGAAGAGGAGGAGGACAGGGACCCACTAGGGTCTGAATGGCACACAGTTTAAAAGAATCGTGCAAATTGTCTTATTTTCAAACACTTAAGCTTATGTGATAAGTGATTATTCTGGAAACTGCTGATTATATTTTAACAACCACCTCATTCTAAAATACACCTTCACTAACATTTTAGAAAAATGTCTATTTAGCAATGCAGTTCTTCTAATAAGCTCAGTGAAACAGCACTTGAAACATACAATTTTTTTGTTTTCATAATGAATTTCAGGTAAACCACGTATTACCTGGAAAATAAATACTGATAGTGCAGGCAGCTTTCCTGGGACACTAAATTGTACTTTCTGCAAGGTTAGATTGAGTAATGAATTATGACATCTATGGATTGAAAGGTTGATTCTTGCGTTGAAAAATAAAACTACCTTTAGTGAGGAATATTTACTCCAATTTGGGTGGCCCTTAAGTCCACATCTAAAATAACAACTTTAGTAAACAAGGCATATATTATTTAAACAATTATATTGCTCATTTTTTGGTAAAGATGAATTTATACTCAAATGAAAATAAGTTCATCCATCTTTGCAGTGGAATAGTGTTTGCATTACTTTAAACATTGCATTTTACATGTGCTAGAGAAATGCTTATCTATGGTAAAATGCTGTGCTTGAACATGTATGAATGCTAATATAACAATGCAGTAGAAAAAGAGACTTTCTGTACAACAGTTGCTAATAATTTAAATAGTGTCAGTTTCCCAAAATTAGGTTTTTAACTTTAAGGTATGACATGATCTCACCTTCTACCCTCATATACAAATAAATTACCATAAAAACAATTTTAGCTTAACTTAAAATTGCACCTAGAAAGGCATGGGATCGTTTGTACCTATTACAAAAACTGTTAAAATCAAGGGCTGCTACAAAGAATGAGGTAAACTGAAGACTCTCAGCTATGTGGCCTTCAGAGAAATGGCTTTTTTCTATTGAGTTCTAGTTTTGCACACCACAGTGTTTTGCTAGCAAAGCGTTCTGAGTTCTTTTCCAGGAACCATTTGTGTGTATATACACACATACATATATATATATGCATGTATATACACACACACACATACACACACACTGTATACTGCATCAGCAAAATATATATATATTTATATATATATTTATATAAATATAAGGAAGAAATCCCCCTCTAAAACGTTCCTTAGTGTTTTTGTAGAGCTTATGGGGGAGGGGATGTATGTCTCCTTGCTGTTACATACATTTAGAGAACATCTTTTGATCTATTGGCTTCTTGGTGCAGTAATGCAAGATTGATCCACGTTGGTGCCAAAGGCTTTGCTCATCAGAAGGAAGATGTAAAATACTAATCTCCTAAACAGCGAGGCCAGCCTCACTTGAATTCCTCTGCAACCCTCTGGTCTACCACAAAGTTCATAAATACTTTGACTTCCAAATCATTAGACATTAAAAACAGGAACAGTACAGTAACATGGGGCATTATGCTTCTCAGTGTAAAGCATTCTTCACTAGTTCCTATCACAGTGCAGACCTGACTGCATTAAATATGCTCAGGAGATTAGTCAACGTTGTCTGTATTTGGTTATGGGAAAGGCTCTCCTTTTTTTCATCCAAAGTGCATAGTGAGAACAAGTCAAAGCATTCCTCTTTTCAGTAAGTGTTTGACAGTCTGGTCTAGGCATCCTCCTGAGAATGCAATTCTGTCTTGCTCTTTTCCAAAATAAAGTCCTGCAGTTCAGACATTCATCAGCCAGGTAAACAAACTTTGCCAGCAAATAGAAGTCCCACTATTGTAAAGAAAATGGATAAGACAAACAGTACATACGAAGACCCAACCACTGTGTTATTGGGTAACTTATATGGTTGACCTCCAACTTCATTGATGTAAAATCCTATTGGAAATATTAGGGCTGCCATACAGAATAGAATCACTGCAGAGAAAAGAGAAAAGAAAAAACAGTCATTGCTGAGTTAAAGTAAAAATATTTACCAGTTCATAGAGCAGTCCAGAAAAGCAAGCAAAGTATTCTGACTAAACTGAAGAGCTAAGATATTCCAGTACCTAACTTGATTGAAATGACCAAGTGGGCTTTATCTTGCTTTCAAAACATTCCTCATCTACTTCCAAGAAAGACTGAAAGTCCCACATTTTGACTGTAATTTCAGTCCTGCTCACTAGATCATGAACTGTCTTTACAGATTAAAAATTTGGTAGATGTACTTCTACCACCATCCATGAGTTTCATCACAGAGTTCATTACTTCTCCAGTTAGAGTAATTTTTCCCCAAAGTCAAGACAAACTAACATTCAACATTGAAGAAACTCCTTTTCTATTATGAGTTGTCTTTTTCCAACCGTAGTTGCCCTCTCCCATTCTTCCACATGAATTCCTTTTCTGTAAAAATTTTGCTAAAAATAGAAAACACATATATTGTCATTACAGATTCTTTTAGGTTAAAATGTACAAGTTTCCCAAAGTTATATGAATGTTTCCTGAAGTAATGAAATATCCTTAAGATTTTCCATTGGAATACAAAGAAAGTCTTCTGAGTCAGTTTAATCTAAACTTCTTAGTGAAAAACTTCAAATTCAGACTCCATGAACAAAGAGGACCAAGCAATGAGGCTTTTTATTTCACCTGAACAGTTAAGACTTAATGTACATGGTTTGTGCTTACAACTGACTCTGTGTGAATGTACAAAAAAGAAACCAGAACTCCTATTAAAGCCATTCATTAGAATTATATTATGGATTTCACAGGCCTTCAGGTATCAATAGTGGCCAACATTCCTCACAGCACGTTTCAGTACTCTGGTCAAATCCAGGAGAGAACATCCAGTGTTGTAATCTTTCCCAGATGACAAAGTCAGTGTTCCTGTAACATACCTTTGGATAAGTAACCCTGTTTAGTTTGAACATAGCAATATGCAGGGCTCTACTGTGTCGATCAAGGGAATGACTTCCAAATATAGCTCCTCCAAGAGGCAAGACATTCTTCACAATAAAAAGGCTTAGCTTTTGAATTGGTTTGATTGCATATGCAAGAATATGCAATTAGGTTTTTTATCAGTATTAGAATAACACACAATTTTATCTGGTTCTACCAGTTCAGTCAACTCTTAGAGCTTTACTCTTACTTCACTTCTATGTATTTCAGCTTTGTTTCAAACATTATTTATTGTAAGTGGAACATGGCATCCCAATACCCATTCAGCCAAATCTAAATTATATCTGGGGGGAGAGATATCCCACCAACCCTACAAAGCCACATACCACCATCTCCTAACATGATGCACAGCTAACACTGAAGCCCCTCCTAGTCCTCAAAGTCTACCTATAAACTTGGTCACATGAAAAAGAAAATTCAAGCCAAGTTACAGTGTTCCTGCCTGAATAAAGTGCATTACGTGCTAATTTTTTCAGTCTTCTCTCAGTTAACACAGACTGCTGCTTTTTGTTTGTTCGTAAGGGACACGGGTGCTGTCCTTGTCTCCCCTTTCTCTTCTCCACCACTAAAAGACGGAACAAACTCTGGGGATGCTGTTCCCTGCTTGAGCTTCCCCCCAAGTCAAACAAGCAACAGTAAAAAACACTGGCAACACTAACAGTCATCACTTTCATCACTGGTTCCTGTGGAAGTCGGCAGTGCTGCAGCTGCTCTTGTTTCCAAAGGTACATTAAACAAATTCAGGAGATCACCTGTCCCCTTTGGCTTCACCAGGACAAAGTCTCTAGTCTTTCAGAATGAAGAAAAGACGAGCTGGAACAGCCTCAATATTTTTTAATGTAACTTCACTACTGCTCTTCCTAACTAAATACACATGCTCCAGTTTATCCAGCTACAGTGTCACATGCCCATACTAAAAACTTTTTTTTTTTAAATAGACTCCATGTTTATCCCAGACAAATAGTTTATCACATATTTTCTATCTTAATGCTCAAAGCTTATGATTTGCATAGCACAGGTCTCAGCTTTGGGGAAAACACATTCATGTTCTATAGAAGACACTAGTTATGGGCATGATGAATCTGAATTCAAAAAGTGTCCAAGCAGGATTTGGGCATAAATTAAAAATGACAGTTTCATAAACCGCAATCCATATCAGAACATCAGCTGCTCCTTGCTTTCCCAAACACACGAAGCAGCTTTTACAACACCTTGAGTGAAGAGCAGCTACCACTAGGATCAGCCTTTCTTTCAGCTGACAATACTGAGCAGGAAAAAACCCTAATGTTCCGCTAGCGGGAGCTCGTGTCTCACTTTTAATGTAACAGCACGGGTGAATTATTTTTTAAAGGGAAATAAAAAGAGCACAAACAAAAAAACATCTGGCAGCTGCATAGTTACTACATTCCTGCTCAGTGCTACCTCGTGAGGCCATCTATTAAAACCAAAGAACCAGCAACCAGACGTTAAACATTAAATAATCAGAAGGTTTTAATCTACATGATTATTGGTCCATGTATTTCTACACTACACAATCTAATCCTTAAAGAACGCTTCCCTTTTTTAAATTGTATCTTAACAAACACCTGGTCCATCTGAGGAGAGAAAGCTTGGATATGTGTTTCTTGAGCAGATCTGTGTAAGCGTAGAAAAGCTCTATACCTGAGTGGTCCAGAAAACAGTGGTTGATGTGTGATTAGTAACGCAACATACAATTAGTAACAGTTTGAACAATATTATGAGGACGAGTCACATTATCATAACTCAGCACACTTCCTATTACATCCAGTTTACCCCGACAAGCATTCCAGTTACTTATAAAACTTCTGTTGTATTTTAACAATAATACAGGAAATAGCTTTAGGATTCTGAAAACAACCTGCACTTTCAAGATTAAATCTCCTTTATTATATTTAAGAACTACACATCTAGAAAAGTTCTGATGGCCTCATGGATATGGTTGAAGAATAGATCTTTATCCCTCTCTACTAAACCACTGTTCTTTGAGGTGTGTTGTACATACATGCACCAGTGCTCCTAGGTCTGAGACCTGCTAGTGGCATGGTACCGCCAAGTGGAGTGTGTGCCCAGCGTCTCTTTGTGTTCTTGCCCAAGGACAGAAGGGTGCAGGTACCTCAACTCTCCCTCAGTTTACAGCAGGAAAAAAAAAATTCTGCCTGTGCAGCTAGTGCACAGAATGCTGATGCGCATACACATTTCAAACGTTTACTACAGAAGTAACCAGCCATCTTCTCTTCCACTGTGCATACACACAGTGTACATATTCTGCTGTGAGGGTGTCAGTGTGGTCTGAATTTTTAGTCTGAAATAGCAAATAAAAACCAGATTCATCAAAGTCTCTGTCAGATTAGGAAGCCTGGCAAAGGAATTATGGCAAAGTTTTGAGTAGTGATTAAGAAAAGACTGCATGATGAATTTATTTTTAAGAAAAGAAGACACTAAGGAGAAAATCCAATATATGAAGTGCTCATTTAACTTAAGTGTGTATTCTTTTAGAAGGAGATTTGTAAGCTGGAGGATAGGAATTTCTTATACAAACAGTAGCCCAAATGTAACTCTCTGTATCTGGTAGTATCAACTCAGTGAATTTCCAGCAACCCATAAAGAACTTCTCCCTCAAGAGTACTTGCTTTTGATTTCAAATTCTTCCTTGGGTAGCAAAAGTTGCAGAAAAGACACTTTATTTCTCTAACAAAAATAATTAGGTAACAAAAGACAATCATCTCTAGTCTGGTTCTGAATGGTGGCAGTCAAAAAAAGATTGAGTTCCTGTAATTCTTCAGCTTGAAATTGTTTTGAGCGTCCAATGACAACTTCAAAAAATCCAGGATACAGAGTATTAAAAGAAGGAAAAAGCTATGGTCTAGTCTTTAGAGGGCTCATTGTAATACCTGCTTGCCTCTTTAGATATGCATAACATAGAAAGCAGCACCTGGTACAAATCTTTAATAACTCAAGAAGCACTTTATTCACTGGGGAACACAAGGGACAGATGTTTGCAGGATAGCTACTGTTTGTTAAGAATGTGATTATCCTGCCCCATTTTTACTTGTATTCCAAAAAGCACGTCCATTATACTCATGAGCATTTAAATCCTCTGGCAAAAAGAATAACAGACTGTCTGGTAACTGCTGGAAAAAAAGGTAAAAATATGATTTTTCTGTCCAGCATCTCCTCCCTTGATACATCTCAGAGAAGCACCCAATTCAGTGGCAGCAGACACAGAATTAATTCCCTTTCTAGTTGTAGCAGATGGCAAGAGACCTGACTCTGTATAAGATGTAAACAGATCTTGTGGGAGCTCTGTGAATTCCTGCAATAGCCAAGATTGATATAATATACATAAGACCACCAAGGTTGCCTCCACAGAGAATAAGCTCTGGATGTTGTTTCTAATTACGGAACCTAACAGTATCTGTCCCAAGGACCATGGAAATTACAATGTTTGAGATGTAGCATAGGTTTACCACATCCTATCTTCTAAACCAGAAGATGGCATAATGAGCACCCTGAAAAGGCAAGGTGTTTACATAAATTTGAAATCGGGCTAGCAAAAAGGGAGAAGTTTCAGAGATACAAGGAACAATACCAAAGCCAGGTTACTTTTTTGCTACCAACTTATGCCACTATGTCACAGGGCATAATTAGTGATGAAGTGGTATAGAAGCTGGGATGGTAATAGACAGTTAGCTCACACTTGAGCAACCAGTAAATAATACCACACAAAGGAATAGCTGATCAGATCTTTGACTGGTATCAACACACAAGGCACACCCACAAGTTTGCAATACCTCATTCACTAACGAAGCACACAAACTGGACAGCAGACAAACAAACACCAAGATGTAATCTACTCTCCATTACATTGTATGAATTTGGTACTACAGTTAACAGGACTCAAACAAGAATGATAGTTTTGATACTACGTATGCCCAAAGTGACAATACTATCACATCAGTAGGAATACTGTGATTCTTGGAAGACTCTTCTCTACAGAAATCAAAGGAAAACTTTCACATTTGCCTTTAGAAGACTTTTGTCACTTATGCAGTATGACCTGGAGGAGGGAAGTATCCCCTCCACAAAGCTGTTTTGCAGAGAAGCCAGAAAAACAAGTTTCTGTGCAGTAAAACCACCGATGGCTGGGAAAGACTGCAAACGCTGTGCTAGTAAATACTCTCTTGGGTGTACCCCTTTAGAACTGTATATGGGAAAGAGAATTGACAGATCAAACATTTGTCCTTCGTGTGTCCCTTAGCTAAACAAGATAGAAAAGACCACTTTCAGCAATAATTCATATTTATAGGTAGACAGTTGAAAAAACCTGGAGTCCTCCAAGATTACAAGATTACAAGCAAAAATTCCATGAGAAACATAAGCTATATATTTATGTATAAATTCCAGCATGAACTGGGCAAGAGTGACCTCTTACCAGGCTCTCCTTGCTGCTGTCAGAGTTGTAAGGGAAGGGCTGAGCAAGAGGACTCCTTTCCCCTTAGATGATTTACTCTAGACCCCCTTGCATTTTAAGAGAATGGAGCTGCCAGTCCCTGAGCTGCCCTTGGCAGGCCTAGCAGACTTCCCTGCCTGGCTAGGATAGCATGTCCTATGTTGTGTTCAGAAAGTTCTGTGAGAAGAATATCTGCTAACAGCCTGTACTAGGCCACTGAGTCTTTAAATTGCTTGCAGAAGAGATGCAATACAACTACGAAGTTTTCCCTACCCTGTTCTAATGAGTTACACACATTTTCATCTTACAGCACTGGCACTTCACAGGAAAGGCCTGTTCATGGTATTCCAAGCTGATTCCATTTGGCTACGTGTTTCCTAATACTAATCTACAAATAGGCTACTCATTTGTGTTGCCATCCAATGAACCATGGAAGTCATTCTCATCAACTTTTTGAAAAATGCAGAACTCTACCTCCCATTCACTTCTTTTTTTCAAAAGTAATTTTTCTTACAAGTGAGCTAAGCAATAAAATTTTCTATCATCGTTAACAGGAATGCAAAGGTCACAGAATCATACATATTGGAGATAAAATACCAAAGACGCTGAATTTTAAAATTTCGGCAACGCAGCGATCATGTCTTAATAGCATTATTAATAATTCTGACTTGCAAAAGAACAAATTAGTATGTTTCATTATTAAACATCTCATAACAAAAAGGGAAGTGCTGAAATAAAAGAATGTCCTTCTATATTTAGACTTCTAATAATGGACCTGTTGCAAGCCTAAAGAAATATACAGAAAAAAAACCAGCTTTAGGGTATCAGATTTTTTGGCTGAACTAACCATCACAGTTGTAGGAAACTAAAGATGCAGGGATGTGATGATTTGTGATATTTAAAAAAAATATTAAAACATGTAAAGCCCAAAATACAAGCTCTGAATTAAGAGAAAAACCTCAGTAAATAAATTGTGGTATCAACTATTAACATATAGTACTCCAAAATCCCTCTTTCCCCTATAGCTTTGACTTCAGCTTACTGTAAGCATCTTAATTTGATATGGCATTTTGAGTTTAAACCCTCCCTGCATACATTAGATATACACGAAATATGTATAGATAAACAAGGGTGCTGGAAAAGTTGGGATGGAATATTCAGTAATACTCATGTCTGCTATTTTAATCATTCACTGGAAAATAAATAAAAGGCAATCACAATGGCTACAGCATTTCAATAGCTCCATTGTCTGCAAAAGCTGCACTATTAATTTAATACGCTGTGCAGCAAAGTTGTCAGAAGGATGGCTTTGATTGTACAAGTGCCTCAGTGAAGTACCTTTGTTGAAGCTGAGCACTTTTTTGTATTATTCCCTTCCCCAAAACAAGGTTAAATCTCATTCATATTAGGTATCATTAGTTGTCAGAGAGTTCCATTAAACCTTATTTATGCCTGTGTAAACCACAAACTTGCATTTTCTAGTTAGTGTTCACGCTACCTTTAGTGGTATGTCATAATTCAAGTCAATTTAAAAGCCCTCAGGTTTTGAGTTTTTTCATGCTGTCATCCCCACCATTAAGGCACCATTTCACAGTTGGGCTAAGCCTGTAACACACACCAAGAAAAGGAAGTTTGAAAGTTATTCCCCTTACTCGTTATAACTGTTTTTCTTTTGCACTGAAGTAACCATAAGATATGTTTCCCTGTGCGGAAACAAAGGGCTGCTAGACAAGGCTCAGCTGTGAGGAGTTACGCTGGTGCTCCTAAGGAGCAGAATCAAGGGAGGCAGAAAAACACTGGTACTCCTCCCTTCAGCTAAAGCGGGTCACTTATGGAAGCAAAAGTCTCAGTGCTGTGAAGCACAGCAGATGCTCTGCAGTGGGCAATCCTCCTGCATAGCCAATTAGGATGCAGATATTCTGAATAAAACACCTGCTGTGAGCATGAAGCAGGACTGAACCGGCATCAACCCTGAATAAGGTATTCATGAGACACCTGAAGGAGGGATGGATTTCAGACTGCAGTAAGTCTCAGATGCCTCCTCTTCCTAGGGGAAGCAATTTCAGTCATTCCATTCTGCAAGGAGCAAGTCCTGGATATATGGGAGTGGGGATGTACGGAAGACTACCAGACACACAATTCAGGACTGACCTCTTCTGTCCCTGCTCATTTTCTTAGGTCAGTTAATAGCACTGCCCAAGGAAAGTAAAGGGGTCAGCCCTTCCTTTTGCTTACCTTGGGCCCACAGACTATTAATCCCTCTCAATTATAGTCACTTAAAATATCAACCCCTGAATTTTTGAAGAATTTTATTTTTCTCTCAGACATGGTATTTAAAGAGAAGGAATGTTTTGTATAGTAAGAGTCCTAAGCACTTCTCCTTGACAACACTGTACTGTTATTTTAGACTCCACCAGTTTATCCTGCATACAGGTCAACTGTGTAGTTGAGGTCACTTACTTCCAGTGAAAGCTATCCAGCGGGCATATTTAGTAGCTTCTCTTCGCCAGTGGGAAGCCACCAGCAAACCACATGTGACAGTTAGTGAAATGATTCCCATAATGATGAAAAATAACGTAGTGACCCACTCAGGAGGCAGCCGTGGAGGAATACAGGTCCTGTCACGTCCATGGATGGTTTGACACTGTCGCACAAGGCCAACTGTGAGAGCACCTGAAAATACACAGCAGAGAGGCAAGTAAACTTTCAAAATCCTCTCTGAGGGGCGCTCAATTGCAAACCAAAGCTCAGAATTGTCCAAAACTAAGGGATCCTTTCTTTGATGAACATTAATAAGCCTTTCAAACACAGGGGATGGGGGGGGCATGCTTTAAACATCTGTCTTCATGTTCTTTCATCACACGCTTGCACAAGTTGAAGTGAGATGGCTGCAAGCGGTATCTGGTTCTTGAGTGGCAGTCAAGGTCTAATCAAAGAGATAAGGCACTCCTATAAAGCCTGCCAATAGCAGCTAAAGTGGTAGCCGAGATGTACAGAGGATCACTCCCTCATCTGTGCAAGATGAAATACTTCTATAATCTAACAAAATGAGCTGCAGCCCCCTAAAATGCCTTTAATTGTCCAATGCCTTTTTTCCGTCATCTGTAAATACAGCTTTAATCCTCGAAGTCTTGCAGCAGAAACTACATTTAATTCATACCAATATTCTTAAGAAGATTTAAAAAAACCCCACTTCTTGACAATAACTCTGTAAGAGTCCCTCTATGCAAGAGACTGGTCAATTCTTTTGACAGCTAACAAGAGTTACTACACACACACAAACTGGGATATCTACACAAAAGATCTATCAAAAAGATCCTAGAAAAAGGACAAGACTGGTACAAGAACCATAAAGTTTTACACAAAATGAGGTATTTCCTGTTAAACTAAAAAAAAAAAAAAAATTTAAAATCCAATTCAGTGCTTTTGAGACTCACAAAGAAGCTTTTAGTAAGCTTTAATAGTGAAATTCTCTTTATTTGGAAAATTTTAACCCAAAATTAACATGCAAGATTAAAATCCATTTCTTCCAGTGTCTCTTAAACATTAAATCCTATATTTCTCAATTTTGTCTCTTCTTCTGAACTGTTTTCCTAAATAATCACAACTGTACTTTATCTAAATGAGGAAAAAAAACCAACAGTGGATAATATTAGAGTCAACATCTTCCTCCACAAATTGTTGTAAGTAAATATTGTTATAGTTGACCTGTTTAAATAAAAAGAGGGCAACTTAGAAACAATTACAGTAAGATTTGGAAGCTTAGGTTTTGCATGTCTTTTGGAGGGAGAAACAACTGTCATACTTGTTAGCTTCTTTTTGAAAAAAAGCATGAAACAAAGCAATAAGTCAATAGTCAAAAGGGTAACCAGTCCTAGCATGCACGTCCTAGCACCCTGGGGCCAGTTTCTGCAAGTGTTCAGATCCTGTCTGCTTACACCTCAGCAATGAGTACCACCAGAATCAGCTTCTGAGCTTAGAATCGCAGCTTTTGCAATTAGCACGCAGAATATCATGTTTTATTAGACGTAGTGCTTCTGATACGCTCCTAGAGGACGAGAACCAAGAGCAAAAACATTACTGAATTAGTTCTGTTGAAGCATTCCTGTACCTTTTGTTTAGACTACAAATTTTTAGCCCAATTCAAATACATCCTTTTAATTACATATTCATCAACTGAAAGAATCGGAGATAACTTTTCTGCTAAAAGCTGAAGTAAAATCCTTTTTAAAAGTGTCAGTTACAAAACCAACAAAATTGGCATTTTCTACTCCAGGTATACAGCAATCACACCGTTGCTGTGCCCCAGGACTATACAAAACTGAGCCAGTATTACACACGCAATCTTGCACAGTTCACATACCTGTAAAGTACACAGTTTTACATGAACTGCTTCTCAGTTGCTTTTTCATAGCCTGCAATGTTTTCATTTTATATCAGCTGCTGGGGCAGAGGGGAGATATGCACGTGTCCTTAAAAGTCAAGCTCCCTGAAACACACACACATTGCGGAACCTCATACAAAACACTAAATAGTTTCCTGTAGTTTGGGGATAAAGAGGCTATTCACTGCAGTATCATAGAACAGGAAATTAATCCCAAGCACTCTGCAAGACTAGGATTTAACAAGACTTTTACTATACTTACAGTAGAAGTCAGTTTTTTCTAAACTGCAATTCTCATCTAAAGAATGACTTCATAAAAATGACATCACACACTCAATAGATGTTTTCTGAATTCAGAAACCTCTCCTGAATTCAGTGGCAATAATTTAGTGCATTTTTAACTTTGGCAAAAGCAACAGTGATAAGAACCACTATGCTGGACTCCATTCCGTTTTGTGTATTAACTGAAACTGAAGAACAGTTGCTATAGATGAGCATGTATTGGAAAGAGACAACTCATCTTTCGGATGCAATTTGCCATTTATATTGAAGACATTTTTCAATTAACAAGAGCACATTTAACAGGTCAGATTCAGACAGGACCAAAGCTGAGCCCAGCAGTGCCATATCCAAAGGAAATAGAGGAGAACTCCATCTTGAACTACTATTTTTCAGTGCAATTTTTTTGCTGTCAGCATCTACTTGTCCAAAGGCTGATTTTCTCAACACCCCCCCCCCCAACAAACCCACAACTGAACATGAAAAAAGAGAGCACAAAAATCTCTCAATTGCCAGTACCAAGGTACCATCCCTTTTGAAGACACAAGGATAGGTGGCAAGAAACTACTCAGAGCAGGGTTTCCTAAACATCACTTCCAGTGCCCAAGTGTGTTGTTCAACTCTTTTTTTTTTTTTTTTTTTAATCAGAGTTTTGAAGTGTCAGCAATTAAACTTCAGGATCTGCCATTTTGGAGGAAAAATACAAACATTACTTTATGGTTAAGCTTTTGTTAGCACATACTTAGTATTTTCTCTTAACTCTGCTTCATGGACTACAAATTTGAAGTAGATATACTCCATATTCAACGTTTTGAACCTTGAGTCTGCAAACTCTGTGGAGGTAAATGGAGAGCAAAAGAAGGTTTGTAAACTATTTCCAAAGGTTCCACAAAGGTAACTGGGAGAAACAACCTCATTATGTGCTTATATATTTAGTTAAAGTTCAAGTTTAAGTTCACTATACAGGAATACCTCACTTATGTACATAAACTGTGCAGAAGGAAACTGAACCTCAGAGCTTGCTCCCATAGTGACAAAGCTCCTGTTGAATGCAGACTTCAAAAGAAGTATTTATTTGCAACAAAATTCAAAAGAACAGTGGGTTTACATGGTATTTTATTGTCTTGGTCCCCTTCTTAAGCAATCAAGCAAACAGTAGCCAGGCAGCTGCCAAAAACTTGCCCCAGAAAATCGTGTTTAACCTTATTTAGTCTATCACTGAAAGGAGGGACATAAATACTGAATTGAACAGTCTCCTTCTGCCTGTAGTTAGAGAAGAGCCCAACAGTCCATCTCAAGCCAGTCACCAAGTTCCACTCTGATCCCTAAGTAAAAGATGTTTTTAGTCGTTCCCTCAGAACAATTCCAGCATAATCACTGAAAATCAAAGCACCTAACACAGGTATAAAACAAAGAGCACAGCTAATGCTAGTAGATTAGGCAGCTTAAAGATGGATACAGCCGTAAAACATGTGCAGTGGAGTAACCATGCTTGCCCATCCTCCACCTCCCATTGCCCGCACTGCACAGCCATCCGGAGCTGTAACGACAACCTGGAGATGCAGGGGGCTGCTCCACTCTCTCATATGCCTCTCCCTCTGTATCTTCCGAGACTGGCATTATGCAGGTCAGTACAGCTAGTGTGAGAGATGATTAGGATATATATTTCTAATTACTAAAAATGAGATACAGCCTTGATCAAAACAGAAAATGCTGCACTGAGCAAATGTCAGTGAAGTGGTCCTTAGTCTTTTCCAGTAAATCTATTCCCTAAAGTGCCAGTGCATTTCAAAAACATTAAACAACCTTCCAGTAGTGACAGTCTGACTATAACCGAGATTCCAGTTTATACCAGTGAAAAGATTTCATGATCATATTGCTACACTACCTCACCCAACTCCTCCAGACCACCAGTAATGCTCTTTTTCTGATACCACATATTTTCACTAGAATCACTAATAAAAAGACTCTTTAACAAATACACCAACATTTGGGAGCATCACCTGTTTAACAATTAAGTTCCACAAAACCGTTGAGGGAAAGAGGGGAAAAGGCACCAAACCAAAGAAAGGCAAGCCCTCATTTTTCCCCTTTGTGCAGATGTGTGGCTGCCACGGAGCCGACCCACAAGTCCCACTCCAGCCCCGCCAGTGCTGTGCCATTCCTCTCCCGTTTCTGTGGTAACTACAGAGCCACCAAGGAGGAATCACAAGCTATGGAGAGAAACAAAGATTGCTGCAGCCCTTTCACTCCCCTACCTCTCCATCACTTCTGAATTATTAAAAGTGGCACAGCGATACCGCAGCTGGAAAGCAGTAGCATAACAGCAGCTATTCAGATGTTCGCTGTTCATCTATTATTTGATTGCCAGAACACGTGGGATCAAGCATGCCAGATGGACACATGAGAGGTGCCACTGCCGTGAAGAGCTTACCATAGCATAAAGAGCAACTAATATGGTAAAAGCACGATGCAGTGAACGAGGTGGGGCTCAAATGTTAAAAGGTCACAGAGCTCAGCAGCTACGCTGTCTCCTGAACATACAAAACACAAATCCCCAGAACTGTTCTTGCTCATACAGCTTGGGGTACCTGCTCCTCCTCTGTCCTCCGCTACTGTCCCCACTTGAAAATGTCCTTACTATTTCCCATCATTTAAGAGAAAATGCTATTCCCTGGGTTTAAATGCATCTGCAGCCCTTTATATTCCCTGACAACAGCTTCCTCACTTTATCTTCCATGTATCAACCACATCCTTAGCAAAATGCCTATTAGTAACATTAAATAAATACTACAGGCCAATATGCCTAGTGAGGAGGTTAAAACCTCCAGCCGCTCCCAGACAGCCCGCCCGCCATCCCTCCCTCTCTGTCCTGATGACATGGCGTGGTTCTGCTAGAAACCCCAGTTGTGACTGCCAGACAATTTCTGCTCAAACAAGATACTTTTCTTTAGTGTACTGTGGACTTGTTAAACCATCTTTGCAAAGCGAAGAGCACAGTTTACAGGGT